AACATTCCTCTCTAACAGATCTCCAAATTGTGTAATTATGTAATATATTGAAAAGTTACTCACTAATAATGACAGTTCCCAGCTGACACATTAAAGTGTGGTTACTAGATTAAATTGGGTATGCCTTAAGGCATCATGATCTTGTCTTGGCTGGATAGAAGGGACTGCCATTTTATTCAAATTTTGTCTTCACATGTAGATTACCAAGATTGATGGTGATCAAGGTTGGATAATGGTATCAGGAGGTGATAATGCAGATTTGGGTACCATGTGTTGAGGACAAGTGTTCCTTAATTTTAGGATAGGCCTACTCCTCTTATAGCTAAAATATATTTTTTGTTTTTTTAGCATATCCTAGTCGCTTGCTGTGTAGTCCCTTTTGTCTACATTTCCCCCCATTTTTTTTGTCCATAAAAGCATCTAGTCTCTTCTTAAAAATAGTCATGGAAAGGGCAGTCACTATGTTGTCATCTAACGTATTCCATGTGTTCACCACTCTACAAGTAAAGAAGTCCTGTCTCGACCTGAGTCGCACCTGTGGTTTATGCAACCTAAGTTGATTACCTCTTGTTCTCTTGCTGTCATTGAACTGGAAGAACCTACCACACTTGACATCACCCTTCTCAACCTTCTCTCGAGCAAGTACAGTCCCAGCACTTCTAAATGCTTCTCTTACTTAAGTCCCCTAACCTCCTTCATCAATCTTGTGGCCCTTCTCTGTACTACCTTGAGCACCATCAATTCACCCTTATTTGTAGGCCTCCAAAACTGAATGCAATATTTCAACTGGGGTCCTACCAGCACTGCATACAATGAAAGAAAAATGCGCAAGTTCCTACTGGGAACTGAATGATGGATGAATCCTGGAATCCTGTTATATTTAGTGATATCATGAGTCAAAGTAACTTGTGAATGCAGTTTGATTATGATCTATTATAAAGCATGATGATGCATTATGGTAAGAACTGCCTTTCACTATATAACTTCCTAACCACAAAACTCACATTTACTGTCATATATGACCTTCAAAATTGGAATAGTTTCTTCCTTCTGCATGGACTATGGATTCATGTTTCATTTGCCCTAGTTCAAGCCAGGATATTCAAATGTAAATGGTTAAGAAACTACAGATTATTCTGGAGATGCTGTGTGCTGTTCAAACAAGAGCGAAAACTACTGGACTAACTTGAGCATGTGAGATACTGAAGGATTCATCTTACTTTGGGGTAGATCTTCAGGTGATCAAAAGTACTGAGCTACTAGTAGAGGAGAGAGAGAGACCGCATGAAACAGCAACCATCAGCTACTTACATTTCATGTTATAACTTCCCTCTTTTTTATGCAGGAATGAATGGAACCTCTATATATTATTTAGCATCATACTTTTTCAAACATAGATATTGACTAACTTGGTTATGGCAAGCTATGTTCCTGCAGCAATATCTAACAACAGCTCAAAGGACTGTGTTAGGATTCTTTGAGCTGTATTGCTCTGCCTTTATCAGGAAGTACTGTTAGCAAGCTTGGTGGAATAAATTCTTCATTGGTTATTCACAGTGTCTTGTTGGTTAGCAAGTGTATATTTCTGGTACCTTAGCTTCATCCTGAACATTTAAAATGAAATATAGCTGATTAAATTACTTTGAGCAGCAAATATAGCAAAGGACCTGTTTTATTACTCCCATTGATTCGGTTTTGGGAGGACATGGACAATGATTCCTTCTGGTATCCTCATGACCCATGTGTCATCTATTTGGTTGATCCTGGTTGCAATGGCTCTTGGGAACCTGTGTTGGAAAACTACACATTTCATCCCTCAGAAATGGGCACTTATTATCAAGGCACTATGATATCTGAAAGTTTTGTGTCAGACTGATGTTTATGGTTGTACAATATTGAAGGAATACTGTGGCACACGTTCGATCTCACGGCATATCCATGAAATCTATTCAAGTTGGGGAAAAAAAGTCTGTCTCTGACTGAAAACTACAGGGAGTACTCATATCTGACTTGAGGTGGTATATTAAACTATAGGACAAGTTCAAATATTGGCTAGCAGATATCCATTGTTTTTTACCCCCCACAATTTTAGGATGTGGTTCATTGGTCTCCATTCTCCCTTTCTGGCAGTACTGAAAAAGGAATTACAGTGAAGTCATCTATGTCAGTGAAGCATATTAAATCTCATCCTAGTTTAAGCAGAAGTACTTTTGACATAAACGAGACTGAAGAAGTACTAAAAACAATGAGCAATACCTGAACCCAAACCATTGGAGAACCCTGAACAAAATGCTATACTGACTCTGACTGGTGATTTGCAAGTAGAATTCTAAAAATGGGATTGAATATTGGCAGTGTACCTGTTATGGTATGGAAGAACTGAGTGAGTACTGGCAGTGCCAAAAAATACCTTGAATGGAGACCTGAATTCACCTGATCATACATGGTGTCTCAAAAAAATGTATACACACTTTAATAAATAAATAAAATATATTAAATAAATCAGAGAGGGGCAATTATATTAACCTATCTCTGTTCAAGTGGATTCTTTGGCATAGGAAGATGTGACTGAACAAGTAGGAGAGGGTGGGGCCCCAAGGGGCTATCCCTTCCACCTCCTCAAGAATTGAAGGTGTTATGAAGCTCAAAATTTATGTCTTTATAAACCAATGCAAGTTCATTGGTGTGTTCATGTGTCAATTCCTGCTTACATTTTTGTGTAATTAAAAAAAATGGAAAAATTGGGCTTTTTTAAGACTTATTTTTCTTTTTTTAACAATTGAGGTTAGGGAGAAGCAGGATTGTTTGCTTGAAGTAGACTATTTTATTGTCTTGATATTAAGGTAACTTTTAAGATTGTGTGCTTTTCATTACGACTTCCAGTTCACAAGCAACAGGAAGAATTGCAAAATAAAACAAAGCAGAGCACCATGGAGGACCATGATGCCTTATCAAGCATGATGCTACAATATTACCTCATCTTGCAGTTTTTGTGCTTTTGAAGTAAAATAGAAAGCTGATCCAAAAAAAGAGAATGTAAAACCACAAAATTGAGAAAAAGTGAAAAAATTAGCTCTACTTAGCCCTCCTAGCGATGAATACCTTTGGATGTTAGAAGTAACACGTTGATGATGCCAGAGATACGAAAAAACATGAACAAATATCAATACATGACACTCTATGGTACCCTATGTTTATCTTACAATAGCTCTTTGTACCTTAGCACAATCATGCCCCAGGAGTGGAGTACCATGGACCAATTGAACATGAAAGTAAAAAAAATTATCATATGGACTTAGCTTTTGCTGTAAAGTTCTGCTTATGGAATTTTAGATATTAAATTGCATATCATGTTTTTTATTAGGAATTTTGTGTCAAGAATAAATTATTGGGGACTATAAATCTGAAAATGGAGGATTGTATTCCATGCATCTTTGGCTTGGTTTGTGAAAACATGAAAATTTCATGTGATTTATTAATAGTGTTGCGATTAGATAGCAAATTTGAAGCCACCTTTTCTGCATGAGTTCTTTGTGTAGTAATTCTGATAATTGTAGGACTATTTTATCACCATGTTAATCAAAAGTAATTATCTTCCCCTTGCTTGCTTTCTTTGGCATACAGTCACTGACTGCTTGAATGCCATTTGTCTATCCTTTAAATTTCATTGCATGCATTCTTTTTTTTTATGCAGATGGATTCCTTTGCTTTGCCTCTCTCTCATCTAATTTCCTTCTCTTATATTCCAAGTGGAAAAGTGGGCTTCCATTCATTCATGATTTATTATGGATGCATTGATGATGGGATTTGACTTGTGGGCCTGTACCCTTTCATGATCTGACTCATCAGTGAATGCTTATGCCTTTATGAGCTGTGGCAACTGGTTATGTTGATGATGCTTTCCTTCCCATTTCCCTCTTATTTCTGAAACTTAAGACAGGAGACTTGCAATTGCTCACCTCCATTTCCTTCTTTAAACTTCATTGTTGAGGAAATTGATGAACAAAACTTCTCAATAAGGGATAAAAGGAATAGGTAAAGGTGATCCCCAATTATACTTTTTGACAGGGGAGTTGATGATGACTGAAGGCACAACTTATAGGGCAGCATGAATCAGATGGACATACCATTTATTTATTCATATTTATTGTGGACTCTTATTAAAATTCATTTGAGTTTGTTATTCATGTATAAGCTCATTATGAAAATGAAAACATTTAATTTGAATGTACTGTGCACATGTTGTCCAATATCTCCTTTCACAGGTGTGTAGCATTCTTTGAAGCCTGCTAAGTCTTATACTTTGAAGCTAAACACACCAAGTATAAATTGTCCCAGAAACTCCTCTACTTGTTTGATGGCTTATGATATAGTAACATGTGTAATAGGTTAGTTTTGTATCATTTTAACCCCTTTCCACATACTGTGTCCAATTTAATACAAGCTATCAAGTTTATGTTATTTGCATGTTAGAACTATTTTGACCTAGTGCTGAACACGGTGTATTAGATACAAAGCTCTCAACCTGCCTGTAATGTACAGTCATCTGCTCACCAAATGAGCAAAAGACCACTTCTGCTGCATGTAATTTTTTCACAACAAAATGAAAATTAATGAAGGAAGGAGTTAAAGTGTAATTCATCCTTTTCCTTCAAGGTAGAATTTGAATGATCTGTTATTAATGCAGAAGGTGGCCATTTTCAGTGGATGCCATATTGACAATAGTCGTTCTGGAGATATTTGAAAGTATGGATCATTGACTGAAATAATACCATACCTGGCCAAGACTAACAATTCATGTATGCCATTAACAAAACATATGGAGGAGTTTCTGATATGCCTTGTACAAGTTCCATCATTGATGGTTTTCCTGTTTGTGAACTGTGAGAAAGGCAAGGATGAATATGACCCTGACTGGTTCTGTTTCTGTTAGCAGGTATCATGCAGTCTACCATAAATGTTAGACCTGTAATAAAAAATTTTTTGCCTGCTAATTGTTGATTTCTTTATAAATTATAAGTTAATAGCAGTGAAAAGTATATCAATCAAGTTATGTCAACAGACTTCTCAAGTCAGTTTTTGAATATTCTGGACACACGTCTCTGCACTTTTTCAAGGAGGAGCTTGTCCCCAACCTCAGAGGGGTCTTGTGCTTCAGGCGCATATCCCAAGATGGAGCAGACAAGGGCCTGGTATGCTTTCGCTTTGCTCCTAGTAGTAACCTTTTCTCTATTTATTTTAAGGATGCCAATCCCAGTTTGTTTTTTATACTGTCATGCTCACTCCAGTCCAGGGATCTATCAACATTAGAACTACCTGAGTCGTCATTTTGACCACTCACGGTTTTTAAATGCACTTTGCTTAGCTTGTTTGGCAACTAAGGGCCTCTGCATTTTTTACTTTTTCTATATCTATGTATCAAACATCTTGAAGCAGGAGTAGACCCAGGTATACTACAGCTTTATCACCTGTCAGGTGGGCATGATGAATTTATCCATCATGACAAATGTTCCAGACACATCATGTCTGTTTTTTAAATTGCTATTATCATGATCTTCATGATGTATTCACATGTTAAGATAAAATAAAGATGTTTGTGTTCAGTTTTTGCATGAAACACAATTGTTTCAACAACTATTGTTATTGCTAAGTAATATTTACACTCTGTGAATTCCACCTTGCTATGAAAATTACATGCTTGACAGGTTAATACAGTGGTCAATGTGACAGTTTCAGTAGTTTCTGGGTGACCCATTTGAAAAGTTTACATATGAATTGTCAGGTGCAACACAAACCAATGAATGAAAGAAGCTGAAACTTGGCATATAAACTACTGGAAGCATAAGCTTCTCAAATCCATGAAGAAAAGTTGCAACAGATGGCACTGTCAGCACACAATTTGCATGTCACATGGTTCACAAACAGTATAAAAGGTCTGTGTACTGTGGAGAATCAGCATGTTAGTGTTTGCTATGAGAATTGAATTGATGCAGGTTTTATGAAAATGGAATGAATGCAGAGGTTGTTTTAAGGTTTTACTGTCAAAGCCTCAATGTGTATCAGGACCCATGTTCTGTTGGAAAAACTTGTGGCAAATTTTGGAGAGATTGGATCTGTGACCAAAATGCCAAAGGCAGGAAGCAGTAGGGTTTTGGGAGACATTTCCAATACTTATTTCTCACATTCTTAGAAGCCCATGCTGCCAGTAGTTTACTTGGCAAGTTTCAGCTTCTTCCATCTATTGGTTTGTGTTGTATGTGAACAGTCATTGGTAAACTTTTCACTCAATTGGATCACCCTGCATGTACCTTCAGTGATCCCATTATTAATGGTAACACCTAAGTTCATGATGGACTGCGAGGAGACAAAAGTCACACTGCTGTTGATATAAGATTCCTGGATTGGTTGCTTTTGCTTGAAGATGCTCACTGGTTTGCATTTTCTATGCTTGGTTTTCAACATACAATTTTCTGATCATTTACCAAGTTTGTCTAACTTAATCTGTGGTCAGAGTTGAGGTTATTGTGTTGCTTGCAGTTAGCTCCCTCTTCCATCATACCTTGTGCTTACTTGAGTTGTGTCACTAGCTTTTGCAAAGAGCCATGCCATCTGAATTTCTCTCATAAAGAAAATGCTAACCCATGCATATATGATAGTGGGTCAAGTATCAAGCTATTGCTGATGGACTTACTGCTGGTCTGTGTCAATGCATGCATTGATATATTGACAATCCTGGTCTTCCATAGGGTTCTAAAGGCTTTCCACGGGACACTCGGACTTGATTGATCTTGCTATAACATAATGTGTGTGAGACTGTACATAGTTCTGCAGTTAAGTCTACATTGATATTTATTTGATTTATATGAGAGATGATGATTAACCAACATTACTGTTTTACCAAACATCAGTTGCAGAAGTGGAGGCAATAAGTGCAGTTATGCCTGGTTTTCCGTTGGGCTTCATCGGAGCAAGCCTGTTCACTATAGGGGTCTTCATTATTGCATGGATTTTAGCAAAAAGTCTGAAGTGCAATCCTTCTCTGATGTTTCAAGTCTTTTTTGGTGTACACCCTGGTGAGTATTCTCACTGCTCAGTTTCTGTTATTACCACCCTTCTTGGCCTTGATTTCAGGTAATGGAATTCAGTTTCACATGCTGATGTGCTTATGAAAATCAGGGAGGAAATCTTCCCATCCCCTGTGTTCATTCCTTTGGACTGCAAAATGCATTCAATCCCCTACTTGCTGTGATAATTTTCCATTTGGATGCATCTCATTAGGATTTTTTAAATTTTAGCCTTTCAGTGATTCAGAGGGCATGGGTAACTTTTAGTACAAAATATATTTTTGTTTAGCAACTGAATCAGCTATTGTTGTATTCTTATCTACTACTCCCTTAATCTAAACAAGTTTTCCCATCTATAGAGATATGCTTGCCTGAAAGGGAAAATCACTATGAACATAATTCTGATTATTATAACATTAAAGAGATTCAGTCACTCATTTCCTTTGAGAGAGGGTCAATATTATTTAATACATACCTTATTTATATGTATATGCTGTGTATTTCACCTAAGGATGGTGAAGAAAGAAAAATGGCGATTTTTGTCATGATTTCTTGCTTTAAAGAGCTTGAAAACAAGACATTCCAACTGTTAAGAAGTAACAAGATCCCTTTTTATATGCCATTCATTTTACTTATTGGTCAAATGGCTCTTAGCCAGATTCTTAACATGTCTTGGATGAGAGGGATTCAAATGACCTTAGGATAATATATTTTTAGTATTCATCTAGTTTGACTATCTTTCTTTCCATTTAGCTTAAGAGTTGAGATATGGCATAGGTGTGGATTTAGAAGTGGAATCAGAATTAAATTCAGATTTTTTTTTGTGTAGGAAGTCTACAGAACAAAGTGGTGTGGATCACTGGAGCTGGCTCTGGAATTGGAAAGCAACTTGCCCTGGATTTGACAAAGTATGGAGCAAAACTTGTCATCCACAGTCTCCCTGGAGAGGACCTGGATTCTTTGAAGGAGCAGTGTATTCGTAAGCTGCTGTCTTATTCATTTTCCTATTTTTTATCACAATGCATTGTTTACTAGTTCTGGGCTTCTTGATTCCCCATAAACCCATAGGTGGTTCTCAAGGGAAGATCTCTTCTGAAGATATATACCTAATCCATGGGGACATAACAAGTGGAAATTTACACCAACAATGGGTTACTGATGCCCTCAAGCACTTTGGTCAGGCAAGTACATGGAAATACAATCACTTTATGAAATTAATGATCAATAATTAGATGCATTTCATAACCAGTATTCATTTTATTTCCTGGCAGGTTGATATCTTGGTAAATAATGCAGGCACTGTCATAGCTGGCTCCTTTGAGGAAACCTCTGTAGAAGATGATAGGAAGATGTTTGAAGTAAATGTGTTTGGAGGTGTCCAGTTAACACGAGCATTGATCCCACATTTCAAGGAAAGAAGGAAGGGTCATGTTGTGGTGACATCAAGCATGTTGGGACGCATGTTTTCTCCTTCTCAGGCTGTTTACAGTGCCTGCAAACATGCACTTTTTGTGAGACTTTCATCTGGTTAAAACAAGAGCACATTTGTCATGCATGACATTCAAGGTGATTTTATCACTGATAGGGATACTACCAGGCTCTGGGGATTGAAGGTGGGATGTATGGATTGGATGTAACAATAATTTGTCCTGGGCCAGTTAAAACACCTTTGATCTTCAAGCCTTTCAGCAATGTGAACAAGTCTTTCATTGACTCTCAGGTGGGTTTTTTTTCCTTCTCCATTTTCCTCCTTATTTCTCTGAGTCCCAAGAGAGACTCATGCTCCCTCCTAAAACCTTGAACATGTTGTTGTTCATCTATGGGAATTAGCTGAAGAAAAGAATTGAATTCACAAGTTTCCTGGTGATGGAGGTGGAAGACTTCTCAAAATATGCACTGCATGCAATTGCCAATCGAGTGCAAGAGGCTTGGATTGCGCCACTTCCCATCCTTATCCTCATCTACCTATGTTATTATTTCCCTGGCATTTCTCTATGGTGAGGTTCCCATTCTTTCCCTCACTAGTTCTTTGACCTTTTCTAGGTATTTTATCAGTGTTTTGGTCTTGTTTCAAGGCTCCTAAGAAATATTGGAAATCCACTAATGCAGAAGTACTTCAAGTTTGACTGAGGGAGTGAAGCTGTGTCCTGTTTCAGGTGTGGTTAAATTTGACCATTAAACATTTTGTTATCTGCTCCAATTTCCAACCAATCCTTTCCCATATTCCTGCCAAGCTATGATATTAGGGTCAATATGTCTTTACCTGGTGTGTTTATGGTGGATGTATGTATACATGTATGCATGTGATAGATGACTTGCATACTCAGATTTGAGGAATCACACTGCAATAACATAATCTTATAAATGATTTGGGTTTATTGTAGTTTTGAAATGAATTAATTGCTTGATTGATGTCATGCGTGGAAAACTTAAAAAAGAAGCAAGAATGTAGACCTACACCTGTTTATTTTATTGATGTAACCCCAAGCAACACATGACATCCATGCGATGTTGCTGCAACAAGACTTGAACCAAATGACATGGAGGTAATGCCATATGAACATCATTTAGATGTATGTGTTGTTTAGGACTCCTACAGAAATCATGCCATCAGAGGCAGTAGCAATTTTTAGTTCTAATAGTATTCTTAGTTTGTCTTATTCTAATCTTTGTCTTGTCAAATTCATAGTTTTTTTTTTTTTTACATCTTGAGGAGGTGAAGTACATATATACATTGGGATGGCAAAATATATTGAAACTTTGCTCCTCAAAAGATCAAAGAGCCACAAGTCCTCCATTCTGGTAAATATGTATGAAGGGTTCCCCACAAAGTCTCTTTTTCATTAGTATTAGAATCATACTGTCTTTATCACAAATTTGAATTATTCTCAGGCTGTTTCTGTCTTTTACTTTTGCTTAGCAAAAAAGGAAAGGAAAACAAAAAGAGGGAGAAGAAGGCTGCTGACCTTGGCTTCAATGGAGCATCAATAACATTGGAAAAACAAAACCATGAACAATAGCTGAAACAAAATAAGAATACATTGCTAATCTACAATTTAGCTGCATTTGTGGTGTGGTTAAAATGATTCTTAAACATGAATTTGTGGGCCTTCAAAATGCATGCTGAGTGATAGTTTTACAAGGAGTAATTGAAGTAATACCAGGTGTTTTTTTATCAGTGCAACCCATGAAAAATGGCATAACTTCTTCTTATAATAATGAAGCTAGCAAGTTGAAACTTGGCATAAACATAGATCCAACCATGCATGACTCATCTTTATTGCAGCAGATGCTTGTAATGATCCCCATTGATCTCCATGGTCTGTTGAACTTGACACCATAACTTTTCAAAAGTACAGCATAATACATCTACAGGAATGTAATGAATGCTGCTTTTAATGCTCTCCTTTAGCTGCAGAATGATTAGAGGATTGTTGTGGTAAACAGTTTCCTTCAAGTAGCCCCATTATTAATGAATTGTCCATTTATGATAAATTCATAAATTATTTTGAAGACATTGAACTCACTCATGGTTACTTCCAGTAAGACAGTAGTAGCTGCCCTACCCCTGTGAGGAGCATGGAAAACTTTCATTCATTCTTTGTGGGCAGCATCATGTCAAAAGTCCTATGGCCACCAAGATCTCCCGATTTCACACCACCCAATTACTTTCTTTTGAGCTTACTATTAATTGAAACAGTACTCACACCCTTCCACAGCTAAAGGAGAACGTTAAAAATGGCATTTGGGACTTTCCTGTTGATGTACTACACTGTACTTCTGAAAACTTGCTGCATCTTGTTCAATTGTGCATAGAACAAAAGAACAAAAAAAGATAAAAAATCAATAACTGCTGCAATAAATCTGAGTCATGCATGGTTGGATTTACGTTCATGCCTAATTTCAACTTGCCATCTTTATCATGTAGGAAGTTATGCCATTTTTTGTGGGTTGCACTAATAAAAAAAATACCCTCTCCCTCCTGTTTGCTTTGAACTCTTCTTCTTATCCGTTCAGTTGAGTACGACTCTCGGCCACACTATGGATCAGTGTTCTCCATGTCTTCCGATCTCTCACGGCTTCTTTCAATTCTGCTATGTTCAATCCAGTATCTTTCTTGATGGTATCTAGCCAGCGAGTTCTTGGGTGGCCTCGTCTTCTTTTGCCACTGACCATTCCAAGCATGATGTCCTTCTCAAGCAACTTGCTTCGCATGATGTGACCAAAGTAGGAGAGCTTTTGCTTTGTCATCTTCCCCTCCAGTGAGATTTTCGGTTTGATCCGTTCCAGAACTTTTTGGTTTGTTATTCTGGCTGTCCACGGAATGCGTAACAGACGTCTCCAGCACCACAGTTCAAATGCATCGATCTTTCGCCTGTCTGCCTTTCTCAGCGTCCAGGTTTCGCAGCCGTATGTTGTTATTGGGAAAACGATTGCACTGACCAATCTGCATTTGGTTGCCAAGCTGATATCTTTGCTCTTCCAGATGTTGTACATACTGACCATCGCATTTCTTCCAAGTGCCAGCCGTCTCTTAATCTCAGGGGTGCAGTCGCCATTNCGAGTGCCTCTGCCTTTCCTGAAGCCAGCTTGCACATCTGGCATTTCCCTATCAACGGTTGTACTCAAACGTTGCTGGATGATCTTCAGAAGGATTTTGCTTGCGTGTGGTATCAGGGCTATGGTGCGGTAGTTCGAGCAATCCTTCGTGTCTCCCTTTTTCGGTATTGGGATGAATATTGATCTTTTCCATTCTTTCGGCCACTCACACGTGCACCATATGCGTCGACATAACGCCGTTAATATTGCTGCTGGTATGCCGTCGATTCCTGGGGCTTTTCGGTTGGCTAATTGCTTCATTGCCCATACGACTTCTTCCTCTAGAATATCCGGCTCCAGTTCCGGTTCCGATGTCTCATTCTCCTCTGCCAGATGGTTCTGATGTTCACTTTTGTATAACTTCTCTGTGTACTCTTTCCACCGATTGCTTTGATGTATATATATATATATATATATTTGCTTCATTTGGGCAAATTTAGAATAAGTTAGGCCTCCATAATCAGCTTAGTTTGTGTTGGACTCCTGCTCAGATGCTATATTTCTGAGGTTATTGCTCCATAAATGCAGTTTAAAATGTCTGGAGCTAAGTAACAGTTGAATGTGGTAGTGATAGTTGCATTTGCAAAATTTCGATTGCTGAGAACTCTAAAACCTTTGGAAGTCAAGCATAAATGCTCAAGTTGCCATTGTGCCTGATTTATGCAGTGTTCTTGACAATCACACAGAAAGGGGTTTTTATTCTGTAGAATATATATTCTCTATTTTTTTGTTCTTGTTTGTGTTTGGCCTTGAATAAAAAATGATGCCTTGATTTGACTCTCATGAGTGCATTGAAAATAATATTCACATCCAGGATGGGCCATTGAGCATCATACCTCTGTTATGTTGTTTTTGAAGGAAATAATGATATGAGCAAAACGATGCTATTGGCATTACATGTGATGGATTATCAGGACCAGATTCAGCAAAATTTGCTGATGTGGAAGATCAATTCAGATTTTCACTTCTGGTTTCTGTAAATTTTCTTTCCTGGTATTCAAGAATTCTAGTTATCATTCTTACTGTATCTAAATGGCTATCTTGTGGTCATCCAATAGGTGAAAAGCTTTGCTTTATAGACACCAGCATGATTTTGCTGCTCAGTGGTTTCCTCCTGCTTTTGGGACTTCTGCTCATTTTCATCCGTTCAGATGCTGACTTGACATTGAAATTCTGGGAGCATTTTGGAAAGAATCCGAGTAAGTTTTTGGTCTTGTCCATTAATCCTTTTCATGTCTGTTTGGTTGCCTAAGGCCTGACTAATTTCTCAATTTGGCCTCAAACCAATAGTCTCATATTTTGCAGGCTTACTGGCTGGACAAGTGATATGGATCACAGGAGCCTCTAGTGGGATAGGTGAGGCATTAGCAATAAGACTAGCATCTCTAAAGGCACGCCTCATCTTGTCTGCACGGCGTTTGGAAGAACTCCAAAGGGTTAAAAGTCTTTGTCTGGGTGAGTTTGATTTGAAGAAAGCCCTACCTTTCAGTTATCTTGTTCATGATTGTTGTCTATGTATTATCAGAAACTTCACTTGGGATGCTTAGTGAAGACTCAATCCTCCTCCTTCCAATGGACGTGACAGAAACCGAGAAACACAGCATGCATCTAGAAACTATAATAAAACACTTTGGGAAAGTGAGTCAGTCTTTCTTCATATAATTTAGCATGTTGCACTTGTTTTGCAAAGAATGAATTACCTATTAAGAATTGTGGGAAAAACGCAACTTGTGGTTATGAATGTGTCTGCTGAAACATTGTCAGAGATTGAGGAGCTCTATTTTATGTTAGACCAAATGGAAAATGCCCTGGCATTACCTTTTTCCCCTGCAGCTGCACCAATCTATGGCTATGGAGAACCCATAATAAGTACTGAATCCAGAGAAATATCAATTTTCCACTTATATTTTTTTTATCCCACTCTTGCATTGAATAATTGAAATCTACTAGACTGCTTCTGCAAATTTTCAGGTACTTTTTTGGTGGTAAAATATTTGGCACTTGGACCACATAACTGATTAATTTATATCAGCATTTTCAAACTGGCAGCCCACAGACCAGATCCGGCCCGCCAGTCCATTTTGTCCAGCCTGCGAAGTCCTCTTCAACAGTTGGTTTTGGAGATGTACTGCAAATGTCAGCCTGTTACCATTAAAGATTAGGTTTTCGATTTTTTTTGTGGCCCCTAATTCCCCCTGAAGGCTTCCATCTAGACCCCAGCCTAATTGAGTTTGACACCCCTGATTTATAGGAGAGCTGATTCCTGTGTGAAACTGCCACAGATTACTTGATTTGTGCTGGCATGTTTGTAAAAAATTTTCTTGGAATCTGTCTGGTCCAGTTTGTCAGCATAGAACAATAAATTCTCAATAACAAATTGGACAAGAGGACAAGAAACCTTCCCTCTTGCATAAAAATAGTCAAGGAATCATTGAAAGTATTGGGAATTATTTTGAAGTTTGAAGTTTAAAAATTGACCCAGTTGTGCCCTGGGAAAAATGACAAAAGAAGTAATGGCTTGTTTGATCCCTTTAATGTCACTTTTTCTCTGATTAGGGAATAAGCTATGTTTGAGTGTAGCAATTTCATCTTGGTTGGTACTCCTAATGCTGAGAAATTGAGGCATTAAAAAGTGTTGCAGGGCATTTAGTGGAAAATAAATATGATGAACATGTGCATATCTGAGTAATCCAGAATTACTGACTCACTTTGAAGTGCTGTTACTTTGAAGTGGTTGCGTGTCATTTTGGTAACGCTTCAGTTTGGTGCCTGCAGAGTTCAGGAATGGCATATATACACTCAATGTCCACAAAATTAGAGATACCAATTTCAACTTTCCATGCAGCTACAGCATAACCTAACCTAGGTTAGGTAGGTTAGGTTGTGACCTAAAGCAGGCAGCCCTGCTTTAGTGTGTGTGTTAACTGACGTCTTACCCGTTTAGTTGTCTGGAGTGCGACTTTGAACGTGGAACGGTTGTTGGTGCCAGACTAGCTGGTTTGAGTATCGCAGAAACCGTCAAACTGCTAGGCTTTTCACGTGCTACAGTTTCATGGGTATACCATGAATGGTGTGATAAACGAAAAACAACGGCTGCAAGGGCATCCTGTGGACGGCAGAGCCTTGTTGATGCTCGAGGTCAAAGAAGGCTGTCACGTATCGTTTTGGCCGACAGGCGGGCTACAGTACGCCAAATCACTGCAAAATTCAACGCTGGTGTCCCGAAAAGCATATCTGTGCACACAACCCGTCACACCTTAGCGCGGATGGGCTACAACAGCAGAAGACCAGTTCGGGTGCCAATGTTGTCGGACAAAAACAGGAAAGCGAGACTTCTCTGGGCAAAAGAGCATCGTCACTGGACCATTGCTGAGTGGAAAAAGGTTGCGTGGTCAGATGAATCCCGGTTCCAGTTGCATTTCGCCGATGGGAGGATGCGAATCTGGCACAAGAAAACATGAATCCATGGACCCCTCCTGTTTGGTGTCAACATTACAGGCTGGTGATGGTGTGGGATGTGTTCTGTTAGCAAACCTTATAAACCCTCATACCCCTGGAAGGTCGTCAGGACAGTACGGCATACCTGAACATCGTTGCCGATCAGGTCCATCCCTTTATGACCACCGTTTTCCCATTAGCATATGGATACTTTCAGCAGGACAATGCACCATGCCACAAGGGCCGTATCGTCATGGATTGGTTTGAGGAACATGCCCAGGAGTTTACCTTGCTCCAGTGGCCCGCACAGTCCCCTGATCTCAATCCAATAGAACATCTTTGGGATGAGGTGGAACGGACTGTGCGGGACTTGCCTGTACTGCCATCAAACAAGCGACAACTGAGTGATGCTGTGCTAGCAGCATGGGCCCGGATACCTGCAGAACGTTTCCAGCACCCTGTGGAATCCATGCCACGACGAATTGATGCTGTTTTGAGGGCCAAAGGCGGTCCAACACGCTACTAGTGAGGTATCTCTAATTTTGTGGACATTGAGTGTATATAATTGCAAACTGCTTCTTGAGTAGAGTCAAATGGGTGGATGTTTGTGGATTTTAGCTTAGGATGACATAAAAAAAAAAAATTTAAGGTATTCTAATATATACCTTTTATCTATGGGAAATGCTTAAGTAAGTGACAGACATGTTGAGTGGAGGTCAAGAAAACCTGTTTCTGTTAAATCAATCAGAGTCACACTGCTGTTCGTGTATTCTCCCTTAGGACCTCATGATCCCTTTTGATTTGCTACAAAGACTAATGATGCAAAAACCATTGGGTTTCCAATAATGAACCAATATTAACCTAATGGGAAAAAGTGCTGAACACAAAGAGAAAGAGCCACATTTCTTCTATATTTGTCTGAAAGAAGAAGAAAAAGGAAGGGCAGAAAATAATTGTGCCTAAAGGCTTTCCACACTTTTCAAACCCTTTTAAGAGAGAGTCACGATTCCCAATGTAGCTATCAGTCTCACTGTTTGTCCTTTTACATGGAACGAGGATTGATATGACTGTAGGAGACAAGTAAATATGCAAGGGCGATGTGACATGCCCCCATCTTGAAATAATCCAATTTTTTGTAGCTAATATTCCCTAAGCTAACTTGAAATAAGCTGAAGCCTAATCGAAATTCAAATATATTTATTTGCCACACATGTCCAAGGCACCCAATTGGCATTTCTACTTATAAGAAGATACGGAAAGAATGGGAAACAGCAAACAAGGGAAAGAAAAAGAAAAAAAAAAAAAAAAAAGGGGGGGGAAGATAAGAGTTTGGGTCTGTGTCATAGCATCAGAATAAAAAAAAAAAAAGCCAAAAACCAGGAACAAAAAACCAAAAGAGAAACAAACCAAAAATACATTTATGTGGGTATGCCAAACACTTCTTAACAAGGATTGATTTTCATCCTTTATCATCAGTTTCTTTATCCTAGGTAAATAACCTATTTATATATTTTTTATTCATATTTTTCTTGAGAGAATTTTTGGATTTGTTCATTTATTAATCTCATTTTACATCCACGAAGCAGCCTCTGGGACTTTTTGCTTTCATTTGTTAAATACAATACGCAAGAACAAACTAAGGTCATATAGTGGAGCATTTAGTATTATAGTTTCTGCTGTCCTTGAAGGGTCCTTTAGTTTTAAAAAGTCAAAATGAGAACGAACATCCTCCAACTCTTCACACCATAGAAGAATGTGCTCTCTAGATTCCTCCATAGAACACAATGGGCAAAGCAGGTATCCAGAGGGGTCCAGAAGCTGAGGAAAATTCCAATTATCAGAGATGAAACGTAAAACTGGTCCTGCCTTTCTCTCTAGATTCCTTATATCAGCCCACTTCAGGCCTTTTTCTAATAGAAGAATTAAAAAATGTGAGGAGGACATACTATCCATTTGATTTTTCCATCGTTCCCCTTCATACATGTTGCATGATCTGATCATGACTTTTAAGAAAGCATAGCTTGGTAAACCAAAATTCCACACATGAGTATCCAAATTCCCTACACCTATCACGCACTTCCTTCAGCCAGCAACTTCGTCCCTTTTCCAGCATGGCTTGTTGTTCTGAGAAGGCACTTCCCATGAGAGTGTCACTTGCGTACTTCTTTAAATTGAGCCATAAACCCAAAATTCTCTGGAAGTGCAAAGTTCTTAGAGATTGGAGAGTAAAGGCTGTGTACAAGGTAGTATTTGGGAAGGATTTAGGCATATTAAGCAACCCCTTCAGAAACCTTGCAGCTAAAAAATCAAATTGACCATAGTCCTTCCCATAGACTACCTCTGCACCATATAATAGTACCAAGTTGACCAGGGTTTCATATAAATTCATTGCTTCTGCCACTGGGTATGTAGGAAGTTTTCTCATAATTGGTATTAAGGCATCTAGTGCTACTCTTGCTTTTTTCAAACACACATTCATATGTCTGTTCCATGTTCCTCTTTCATTGTATATAATTCCGAGGTATGTAAATTCTTGAACCACTTCTAATTTTTCTCCTGCATAGAAAAGTCTTGGTTGTGTTTTAATGTGAGGTTGTGGTGAGAAACACATTATCTTAGTCTTGCTAATGTTCACACTAAGTGCATTCCGGCCAGCATATTCTTTCAAACCATTTATGAGTCGTTGTAACCCAATTATGGACCGAGAAATTACAGCCAAATCAGCAGCATGCATCAAGCATGGCACTGCCCATTGTCCTAGACGTGGGAGATGTCCATCAGCCAAACCCAACTCCCCAGGAAGATCATTGATGTATAAAGTAAACAGCAAGGGTGAGGGAATGCACCCCTGTTTCACATCCAAATTAGAGGGGAAGGAATCAGACACCAGGCTAGGACCCACTCGTACAGTGTATGTGGTTCCTTCATACATGGGGGCAAGGAAATCAATCATTCTTTTACTTACACCATATCCTACTAGCTTTGTCCACAGGATTCTCCAATCAATCGAGTCAAAAGCCTGCCTGAAATCCACAAATGACACATTTAACTTCTCTTTTTTGTTGTGTACATACTTTGATATAAGGGTATTAAGGATAAATGCTTGTGTGCAGGTACTATACCCTGCTCGAAATCCCCCTTGATATGGTGAGAGAAGGTTAGATTCCTCAACCCAACAGCGCAATCTGCGTTCCATAATC